AAAATTGAATCACGACACTTGCAGTATCGCAATATGTTCAGAATCACAATAATATAGAATTTTTTTTATTGATTTTTTGAAGTGGAACAGTGCACATTAATCAAGGTTATCCAAAGTTAATGTGCCCAATGTTAGCTAAATTAAGCTAATTTTCATCGGTAGTCCCGTGGGCAGATTAAACAAATTAAGAAAACACTTTAATTTAAAAATACGTGTGGCCCAAATATCACAATACGATCGAAGTTTACCCCAGTGTTCACCAGACACTGTTGCTCTTCCAATAACAGTTATAAATGACAGTGTCCCTCCCTACACACACACACACACACACACACACACACACACACACACACACACACACACACAGAAGAGAAGCCCCAGATTGTGGTATTTCCTGGTATAGCCTCATGTCATTTCCTCTTTTATTCCAAATACAGAAGCGTCCTCATTGTGACTCATGCTCAGTGGCTGTGGTCGGAAAACTCCATGAAGTGTAGCGCGCTGACAAGTGAAGAATGCCCTGTAGCGTCATGTTCTGCTGGCCTTGGACCCTCTGCGGGACCCTCTGCGGGACCCTCTGCGGGACCCTCTGCGGGACAACTGGCTCAAATGCCCTGTCTGTGAGTGACAGGTGTGCGTCTGGCCCGGGACGGTGGCTGCTCCGTGAACCCGGCTCCCTCCTCATGTGTCGGGCTGCTATGTTTATCTGCAGCATCAACATCAAGCCAATTCAATGTGTTCTTGTATAGCCCTAAATCAGAACAGTAGTTACAGATGAGAGAATCAAAAACAAGAAATGCATTGATAATAACACTGCCATTGGTCCATAAGGAGCAGAGGCCAATGTCCATAAACGTTGATAAAGTCCATAAATGTGGTTGAATGTGGAGTGTCCTGGATCATCCCCGTCCTTAGACCCTCCTGCATCGACAAGGAACCATCCAGGACTGAGGCTGTAGACCCAGGACTGAGGCTGTAGACCCAGGACTGAGGCTGTAGATCCAGGACTGAGGCTGTAGATCCAGGACTGAGGCTGTAGATCCAGGACTGAGGCTGTAGAACGAGGACCGAGGCTGTAGATCCAGGACTGAGGCTGTAGATCCAGGACTGAGACTGTAGATCCAGGACTGAGGCTGTAGACCCAGGACTGAGGCTGTAGATCCAGGACTGAGGCTGTAGATCCAGGACTGAGGCTGTAGAACCAGGACTGAGGCTGTAGATCCAGGACTGAGGCTGTAGATCCAGGACTGAGGCTGTAGATCCAGGACTGAGGCTGTAGACCCAGGACTGAGGCTGTAGATCCAGGACTGAGGCTGTAGATCCATGACTGAGGCTGTAGACCCAGGACTGAGGCTGTAGATCCAGGACTGAGGCTGTAGATCCAGGACTGAGGCTGTAGACCCAGGACTGAGGCTGTAGACCCAGGACTGAGGCTGTAGACCCAGGACTGAGGCTGTAGATCCAGGACTGAGGCTGTAGACCCAGGACTGAGGCTGTAGACCCAGGACTGAGGCTTTAGATCCAGGACTGAGGCTGTAGATCCAGAACTAAGGCTGTAGATCCAGGACTGAGGCTGTAGATCCAGAACTGAGGCTGTAGATCCAGGACTGAGGCTGTAGATCCAGGACTGAGGCTGTAGACCCAGGACTGAGGCTGTAGACCCAGGACTGAGGCTGTAGAACGAGGACCGAGGCTGTAGATCCAGGACTGAGGCTGTAGATCCAGTACTGAGGCTGTAGACCCAGGACTGAGGCTGTAGACCCAGGACTGAGGCTGTAGACCCAGGACTGAGGCTGTAGATCCAGGACTGAGGCTGTAGATCCAGGACTGAGGCTGTAGACCCAGGACTGAGGCTGTAGAACGAGGACCGAGGCTGTAGATCCAGGACTGAGGCTGTAGATCCAGGACTGAGGCTGTAGATCCAGGACTGAGGCTGTAGACCCAGGACTGAGGCTGTAGATCCAGGACTGAGGCTGTAGACCCAGGACTGAGGCTGTAGACCCAGGACTGAGGCTGTAGATCCAGGACTCAGGCTGTAGACCCAGGACTGAGGCCGTAGATCCAGGACTGAGGCTGTAGACCCAGGACTGAGGCTGTGGATCCAGGACTGAGGCTGTAGATCCAGGACTGAGGCTGTAGATCCAGGACTGAGGCTGTAGACCCAGGACTGAGGCTGTAGACTCAGGACTGAGGCTGTAGACCCAGGACTGAGGCTGTAGACCCAGGACTGAGGCTGTAGATCCAGGACTGAGGCTGTAGACCCAGGACTGAGGCTGTAGATCCAGGACTGAGGCTGTAGATCCAGGACTGAGGCTGTAGACCCAGGACTGAGGCTGTAGATCCAGAACTGAGGCTGTAGACCCAGGATTGAGGCTGTAGACCCAGGACCGAGGCTGTAGACCCAGGACTGAGGCTGTAGACCCAGGACTGAGGCTGTAGACCCAGGACTGAGGCTGAGTGACGAGTCTGGGCCTCCACTTTTGTAGTTTTTAACCTGGGATACCTACAAGATCTTACCAGAAAACATGTTATCATTTGTGTAAGAAAGATCCCTGTGAGTCACTATCTGACTCTTTAGGCTGAGAGCTGATTGGCTGAGGGAGGGTGGTCCTCTCTTTGTTACGGCCACAAATACGTGTACGTGGGAACTGTCTTGGGAACCGGTTTGTTACATATTTTCATATTTTTGGTGGCTTGAAAGTAAGGTACCCCAGCTTTAATGCCTTGGACCCCAACATAAAAAGGATTCTTTGCCCTAAGCCCGGGCAATTAATCGAATTTGTGAAAAATGTGAAAATCGTGAAATCGAATGAAGGATATTGTGAGAGTTCCAGCAGCACAAGAATTATACAGTCTGTACAAGACTTTTATAACACGTATTGGGAGATACAAATTGAAATATTGAATATTGAGCAGAAAGATTAAAAAATATATTTTTAGGGACAAAGTCTGTTTTCTGTGACTTTAATGAAAATCAATTTAAAATCGAAATCGTCCAAAGCAGAAAACAAAATCGAAATTTTACTTTTTTCCCAAATCGCTCAGCCCTATTCTGCCCCTATTTAGTTTAGTGGTACCTACATTTTTAGTTTTTTACTATTTTCACTCGCAGAAAAAACTGTGTTTACCCAAAAAGAAGTCTACAACGTCTGATTAGAAAATAGTTTATCTTTTGCAATTTTGTAAGAAAATAGCTCTATAAGTCAATAAATGACTCTTTAGGCTTTGAGCTGAGGGTGGTTTTTGACACTTCTATTTGAAAACCCACATTACTAGACTGAGATGGTTTCAAACACATGCATCCGCTCTGTACAGTTGCACATCAGGTACGCTAGCTCTAAGGAAAAGAACTGTGCTAACTACTCAACATTATCAGCTCAAGTAAACGTGATAAGTTAAAGCAACAACTGCGTACGTCTCACTCCATCCTTCCCCGCTCCTCGTGGGCTCTGGTCCAGTCCTCTGTCTTTGGGGGTCCCCTGCTGACGTCAGGGCGGGTGGGAAAGGCTCGCCGGAGACACTTTACTGAGGGAAAATCGTTAGCCGCCCCTCCCCCTCGTCCTGACAGCAGCTACAGTTGTAGTCAGTTTGTAACTCAGCAGATCCTGCAGGAGGAGAAAGAATGTTACTATAGTGTGTTTGGACCAGGCCTCAGCGAGAGACCGACCGGAGCCTCCACTGAGCCTGGATCTGTGGGACTCTGCTCAGAAGATTATTCAGTACATTGATGCGCCAATTGTTTATGTATTCTCTATAGCAGTGTCTCCCAAAGTGGGGTCCGCGGCCCCCTGGTGGGCCGCGAGGGTACTGCAGGGGGGCCGCGGGAGGTCATAAAAAAAAAAAAAAAAATATTTAATGTTAAATTTATAATGTTTTGTTTGTAATATTAAAATATTTGTGTTCATTATTTGACTTGAATAATCCACTGTAATTTTTGTATTACAATGTTTGTAGCAGAGGCCATTTCCCCAAAATAAAATAACCAGAAGAGCCTATTCTTAATGTTGTCTTCTTGGTTATTATTTTGGGGGGCCACGCAGACCCGTCAGATTTTTAAGGGGGCCTCGGTGTTACTGAGTTTGGGAATGGCTGCTCTATAGGAAAGGGTGAATCTAGTTTTTATAATACAGTAGTTAGCTGTAAGAGTGGGCGTCATGGTGCCTTCACTTTTGATCACGGTTGTGTTTCCAGTTCTCCAGGATCAGTTATGGTGTAAGTTTTCTGGTGCAGGGTCCCTCAGCAGAGAAAACCTTTCAAACTATTGATCCTCAGCCTCCTCCAGACCACTGCGATGGAAGGTAGAGGCACCATGCGGCCCACGAGCACAGCCACAAGGTCAAAACTCTGCTTTGATCAGCTCAAACACTCGGACAAAGCATACACTGTACATTGCAAGTTCATTATGTTTAACTTTGAAACCACATTTATCTATAGTAAGTGATAATAATTAGTATGGGACTCTACATGCAATAAACACATTAAAATAAGTGGATGACATAGTGCACCTTTTTAGTGTTTATGATCTTAATGGCTGCTGTAGACTTTAGTGGAGGCTGTAACGTCGTCAAATAAAGTTTGTTTTTCTATCAGTGAAATCTTGGTTGATTATAGATGTCAAAGTCTAAAATACTCAGGTCTAAATTGTTTTTAAATTAGCTCTGTGTCTGCCGTGGACAGGGCTGTTTTCTTAATGCCCCCAGTCAAATGTTGTTCTTATAGGTTGGTGTTACCTGTTAGATTCAGATGGAAAGAAGTTATGGCTCGTATTTCAAGTATGTGTTGTAAATTGTATGTGTACTGACAGAGCAATAAATCAGTCCATCTCTAGATAGAAGACGAGCAGTTCTCTGTCACTTCCCGACCTTAGAAACAAGTCGTTAGAACTATTCTTAGAAGCTTCATTCCTTCCAAATGTTCCTAAGACAATTGTGAGTAAATAGAAGCCCTGACACCCAGCCAGTCTGCCTCCACTGCCTCCTCCTCAAATAGACCAACTACTGTTTATAGTTGTTGGGACAGGAGGGGCCAGAGCGCACAAGAATGCACCAGCGGCCCCACCCCGCCCTGAGCTGCTACAGACTGCAGTATTTATAGACAAACATCTGTGCCAAGAAGACTTTGGGTTTCACGGTGACACCAGGGGGACATGTCCAGGGGTTATGGCCCGCTCCAGTGTGTGGCGGCTGTTAAACTGTCACAGCAGCTGCTAAGTGGGCCGGCTGCCCAGGAGTGTAGGGCAGGACCCAAGGACGCCATGGAGGGAAGAGAAGCACCAAGGACGGGCTGGTCCTGGAGGCTCCGGTTGTTTTTGTACTTTAAGAGTCTGGCCTAAAAAACAACAATACAAAACTGAGAATTCATTTGATATGGAAAGCTCGCACATGTTTTGTTTAGCATTGTTAAAGTAGCATTATGTAAGATTTTCAGGATAAGTTGTCATTAAAGGGCCCTAATCTGTCATAATAATAAAACATGCTCTTTTCCAATACTTCTGCCGGATATTTGGATTCCTAAATTACTTTTCCAGCTCCTAAATCTTGTTATTGTTTTCATTTCCATATCCCGCCCTCCACCGTTTCACCAATCAGAAAGTCTGTGATCCAGGCGCCAGAACTCACCATGTGGAGCTAATGTCACTGGTAAAGTACCATGTGGCGCAGAACTAAAAAAGGTCTCGTTATGATTCTCAAATCATTAACGACAAAACAAGGAATAAAACCAGGATTTCTATCTTTGTGAAAAAGGTGTTGGTTATAGATTTGTTGTTGACAAAACTCTTGTCTATTCAGCTGTTATGGTCCCAGCTAGATTCGTCTGCATATCTGGCAACCTGAGTCAGGGAGAGTGGAGACAGGCTGCATACCACTTTTGGCCCATAGTTTTACACACTGCTCCTAACTATGCCAAGTGACCACCACCAAAACAAAGTAGAGACAGAGAAGTGTTGTGGAGTGGGAGTTCGATTACAAAATGTTTTTTTCTGTTTGCAGTAAGAATTAGCAGAACCCAGAATGCAATGGAAGTGTTGTTTTTAGGACGACTAAAAAACATTGCCAGGATAAAAAACATAGTGTCTAAAGCAGACTTGGAGATTCTTATCCATGCATTTGTCTCCAGTAGGTTAGACTACTGCAATGGCCTGCTCACAGGTCTGTCCAAACAGGCTGTAAAACAGCTGCAGTACATTCAAAATGCAGCAGCTCGAGCACAGGGACTGGACTCCTGCTGGGACTCTGAGGAGCACAGGGACTGGACTCCTGTTAGTGCCCAGAGTCAGAACTAAACATGGGGAGGCTGCTTTTCAGATTCATGCTGCTAAAATCTGGAACATTCTTCCTGAAGATGTGAGACAGGCCTCCTCTCTGACTATGTTTAAAACCAAGTTAAAAACTGTGCTGTTTGGCTGTGCATACAACTGAGGGATTTTATACTTTTATCTTTCTTTTTAATGTTCTGTGATTATTTATGATTTTAATGCTTTCTCGTTTTGTTCAGCACTTTGAGTTGCCTTGTGTATGAATTGTGCTATACAAATAAACTTGCCTTGCCTTACCTTGATAGTAGAGGCCCATGTAAACAAGATAATGTGCACCCATGTCCAGGCTCTGAAGCTGTGTTTTAAACTGGGCTCTAAAGCCGACAGAATACCAAGATTTACAGACAGTACCGTTTTATCTGTGAAGAGAGGGTGGCTCCGTGGTTAGCATTAGTCCTTCTCAGCAAGAAAGTCCTGAGGTCGCAACACTTGTGATTGGAGTTTGCATGTTCTCCTTCTAAAAACACGTACAATAGGCAAAAGTCCTCCAGCTCGGGTCCTGTCCAAGCATCAACATCTGGAGGTGGGTCGCCGGGTGCTGCACTGCGACGACCACGGCCTGAGACCCAGCTGCAATGAAGGATGGGTCAAATTCACACGACAATTTTAAATAAACTTAGGACCCAGCACAGATTTCAATTCTAACATTTCTGTTTGGATTCATGATGACAATGAAAGCAAAACAGGCTGTTATCACAAATGTAACGATAGACCATCTCTGAGCAGGGAATCGAAGGTACGAGGTGAACGATGTATTTCTATGATCAAGAATGAGCTTGAGTTGCATAAGAATGACCGGTCGTTTTAACTCTTGCTTCTGCGATTACCGTGGGTTTCAACAAATGTTCCGGCGCAGACCACTGGAAGCCAAAGCCGATGGTAGCAACATTGCAGGAAGACCAAGATCAAACGTCAACAAGATTATTTCTGCAAAGATGAACAGAAATAATAATGGTATTTACTTGTGCATACCTCCAGGGAAGTGATCAGAGAGACGTCCATGTGATTGTTGGCTCTAACTTTTTATGAATCCTCTGCATTCTTCTGACTTCAGCGCCGGAAACTGTGAAATGTCCTTTTGTCTCTTTGTGCAGAACAAACAACACTACAAACAACACTACGACTAGGGCTCTGAAAGACACAGTGCCTCTGCTCTCCAGGCATCGAGAGTTCACGAGTGTGTGTGTGTGTGTGTGTGTGTGTGTGTGTGTGTCACTCGTCCGCCAGATAGATAGATAGATACTTTATTGATCCGCCGTCAGAGAAATGCAGATGTCCAGTAGCAGCAAAAATAAAAAATATAATTGATCATTCTAAAAAGCTATCAATAGTAGCTTCAGGTCACAGCAGCAGAGGTGGAGTAGCCTCTGGGTGGAGCAGGACGGGTCACAGCAGCAGAGGTGGAGTAGCCTCTGGGTGGAGCAGGACGGGTCACAGCAGCAGAGGTGGAGTAGCCTCTGGGTGGAGCAGGACGGGTCACAGCAGCAGAGGTGGAGTAGCCTCTGGGTGGAGCAGGACGGGTCACAGCAGCAGAGGTGGAGTAGCCTCTGGGTGGAGCAGGACGGGTCACAGCAGCAGAGGTTGAGTAGCCTCTGGGTGGAGCAGGACGGGTCACAGCAGCAGAGGTGGAGTAGCCTCTGGGTGGAGCAGGATGGGTCACAGCAGCAGAGGTTGAGTAGCCTCTGGGTGGAGCAGGACGGGTCACAGCAGCAGAGGTTGAGTAGCCTCTGGGTGGAGCAGGACGGGTCAGAGCAGCAGAGGTGGAGTAGCCTCTGGGTGGAGCAGGACGGGTCACAGCAGCAGAGGTGGAGTAGCCTCTGGCTGGAGCAGGATGGGTCACAGCAGCAGAGGTTGAGTAGCCTCTGGGTGGAGCAGAACGGGTCACAGCAGCAGAGGTGGAGTAGCCTCTGGGTGGAGCAGGACGGGTCACAGCAGCAGAGGTGGAGTAGCCTCTGGGTGGAGCAGGACGGGTCACAGCAGCAGAGGTGGAGTAGCCTCTGGGTGGAGCAGGACGGGTCACAGCAGCAGAGGTGGAGTAGCCTCTGGGTGGAGCAGGACGGGTCACAGCAGCAGAGGTGGAGTAGCCTCTGGGTGGAGCAGGACGGGTCACAGCAGCAGAGGTGGAGTAGCCTCAGGGTGGAGTAGGACGGGTCATGAGGTGGAGCAGCCGATTGGTTCAGACCATTTTCTCTGCTCCTGTCCAAAGTAAAAGGCTTTGGACTAGCATTTTTATCATTAGCATTTTTCAAAACATTAGCCTTCCTTCAGTGGATTTTTTCTGCTCGGTTCGGACCATGTATCCTCTCTGCTCTGGTCTGGACCAGTGTAAAACCATGAATCCTCTCTGCTCTGCTCTGGACCAGTGTAAAACCATGTATCCTCTCTGCTCTGGTCTGGACCAGTGTAAAACCATGAATCCTCTCTGCTCTGCTCTGGACCAGTGTAAAACCATGTATCCTCTCTGCTCTGGTCTGGACCAGTGTAAAACCATGTACATTTCTTAACCTCAGCCAGAGCCGGTAGCAGATTATCAGTTCACCAAACACTTTTATTTCGCTGCACAAATCAACAGGAAACTAAAAGACTTTCAGAACCTGTTTCTAGTTTAAGAGCCGTTTTGTATTTATTCATAGACGCAGACAAAATATTGGTGAGACAGACGACCGCAGTGGAACTCGGCCCGAGGCGACGCGGACCCTCTGAGCTCAGTATGGTTCTTTGTCTCACACGACTCACAGCTTGGGACAATTCTCTCTGCAGCAGTTTGAGTTCAGGTCGTCAGAGTCGTCAGGACAGTATTTACATTTACATGCACGCAAAAACAAACAGTCAGTTAAACTTGTAGCAGTGCGGTCCGGTCACAATGAGAGAAGATTCCAGAGCATGGAGTAAGAAAGTCCAGGACAGTCTACTCACCTCCCTGCTCCAAGACACATTTCTCCTCTGGCAGACGAGATAATAAACCAATCTGAGTCTGACAATATTATGCATGTATTTGGACGTGTTCTGTCCGGTTTTAGATCAGCAAAAATGGAACCTCTCTCTTCTTATTCACACACGTCCCACACCCACATCCACAGTCCACTGGTCATTACTGTTGTTGGTAGAAGATGGACGGAGTGGACCGACATCACCCATGAGTTTGGCTCATTGCAGAAGAAGCCGTTTAGAGCTTTGAACTGGCTGTTTTAGATAAGATAAAACTGAAGCAGGAATGTGGAGGGCAATCTATGCATATGTAACCCGCATTTCCTAACATATTTCCTAACATCACCTTCTGATGGCGAGCTATTGGTCTACCTGAGTGGTAGGATCTTGAATACTTGAACTTTTCTGAATCCCAAAAAGGAACTCTAAAGACTCTAAAAGGAACTTAAAGTACAGTTATGAGCCCACCATAACTGAATTGAACTGACCTACCAAAGGACACTTTTTGTTTTTGTATTTTTTTTTTTGTATTACAAATATTTCCTCATATCTGCCCTATTTATAGCAACACATGTAAATAATATAATATCGTTATCGCATACCTCACCTATATTTATAGAATCTGTGACTACAATCAATATATATATACTTTTCTAACAACGCAATTGATTTTGTCTGTGTTTCATTCACACACCCTGGCTCCTTGGCCGAATCTACTTCTGGTCAACCTAATTGTTCACTCTGCTACTAGCCTAGCGTTACACATATGTGTGGGTAGCGGCGACCAGCACCAGTCTTTCTAATCAGACCAATCAGATAAATTGGCTGTGCTCATTCAAGTCAATGGGCTGTGCTTATTGACGGACAATGCTCGACTATACTATACAATACAATACTTTACTATAAATACTATGCAGGAAGTTTGGGGCAGACATCACACGCTTCTACCTCTTTCTGCTCCTTTCCATTCATACTAAATGCTGTTGTTGCATTAGTCTTTGAATGAATAAATAAAATATAATGGAAGTGAGGCATTCTGGGCCTGTCACCATAGACTTTGCATTGAAAGTTGACGCA